AAGTAAAAATACAACATCCTCAAGTCTCCATACTAGCTAGGACTAAGGTCTACCCGCTGGGAGTAAATTCAGTATATATCAATAAAGCCATATTCTCAGCATCATTAACTAAGCAACTGACAACCTTTTATGCTTAGCTTTCACTTGAGATACGAACTATTTCACCTGCGATTCAGTAGGGAAGGTCGAAGCATCACGATAGTCAGCAATAGGATAAGCAGACAGGAACACTTTGAAAACAGCTACAGGTATAATATTGTATTTAGCTTGCTGCACAATATCTACCAGAATGGTTCTAATCGGTTCCTAAATACATCTGCACGTCATTTGGAGATTTCCATGATTCTTGTGTTTGGCCGTTAAGCTCGTGATGCGCTGATAAATTTCAGTCACCTTACTACTTCAAATCACTTTTCGCAGCCCCAACGCCAAAATAATGCGGAAAATTCCTTCTTTTTAGCCAATAAAAATGTTCAAAAAAATTCAGTTCAAATTAAGAAAAACCGGATTGGGTAGTTTTTTGTTTTTCAACAGAAATGTCCCCCACTGGCTCGTGAGGAGCCTGTTAAAAACTCTCTTGTTTGAAGCTCGTGCAAAAATCTGTAAATCGCCATTGGTAGCCTGCTGGTACACTAGCGCCTAGCTACAGCTATTAACAGGATGTATGATTCATTAACCTGCTGACGTGTCAACGCCTGATTCCTGTACTCAGAGAAAATACGTATTATCACCATCTCGTTAATTTTATACATCACGCAAAAATACGCATTACAACGTAGTAATGATTTTAACTTAAACTTCTCCCTCTGTAAGTTACGTTGCCTTCTGCAGAAAGGATTTATAGTTCACGACTCGATATAGCACCCCTTATTTTGGTGCCGTGGGTGCGCTATAAGGTCAAATCCCATTTCTTGACCAGACAAGAGTTACCGGTGGGTGCTGTTGGTCACCTTTCAGTTTATAAGTTAGAAATTAAGGACGGCTATACACATATATCCCTCGTGTAGCTTTAGCACGTTATTCTGCAACAACCAAATAAAAAGGTCTTTTTCCCTTAACCTACTCTTGTAATGCTGAAAAGTCGGGGATCAGGAAAAAAAATTCATAAGTGGTTTTTCATTACATAAATGTCTCTATAAAGAACTATTAATTTATCTTTTATTACCTGCCAGTTTTGATGACCAAAGAAGTTAAAGGATATAAAAGCCGAAAAGGGTAAAGAAGCATATGTAAAACATAAAATTAGGAAACAAAAAAATATTTTGAGATAGAAGTGAATGTAAGAAACAGAAAGAACTAATAATGAGATTCATTAAAATGCAGGTTATATATCTGTGTTTTAGCGCAAAGCTGCACAATGGGCTTATTGCGCTGTGCCCATCACGGGTATAACGCGACTTTTAGCGTGTATCCTTAAAGCTTATCGCTGAGCCGGGGGTGGGTTGATCCTCAAATTTTAGAGTTGTAAATCCACGAACTTGCTGTTGTTTTCTACTTTAATATCACATTTGACTTTGAAATTTGTGTCTATGGTACAAAACCAACAACCTTGATCTCAAAGTCCTTTAAACTCAAAAGAAAAATGTAGACCGAAAAAAGGACAATTCAGATTCCATCTAGAGATATAACCTTGGTGACTTACATCTTTATTTCAGCTAAAAATACGAACTTGAAGATTTTTGATTTATTAATTTAAAACAGTCATTGCAGGCCAACCAGTTCAAGTAGAAAGTTGTCCTTGAAGAAACGTTGAACGAAATAAATAAAAGAAACTACCTTGTTCTGGAGTTTATGATAGTTTTATTCATGATATGATATATCCTCGATAGTCCAATCAGCACCTCGTTTATATATATATATATAGTGTTGGTAGTGAACTTTATAAACAGCCAATTCAGAGATCCCTAAGATTCGGGCATAATGTAGACGTACTTTGTTTTTTTTTCTTGGTGCAAAGCTACACAATGAACTATCTGTACTCTGTCAACTAGGAGGAATCGAACCTCAGATTTTAGCGTAATGAGTCTATAAACTTAGTGCTGACCCACTGGGAGACTTAGAAGTATTGTATTTATATTTTGTATTTATGGCAAAGCTACTAAGACTAACTGCCACCGTTCCTAATTTTGAGCTATTGACCAGATAGAAGGCAATCATCCAGCAGCATCCTCGCCTAACGGATACTAATTAAATTAAAAAGCAGTATTGACCGTCACATTTATAACGGAGCGTGTTCTATTCCAATACATCATGGCTCGAACCTTGAATTTTCCGGTACGCCTAGACAACGCCTGATACTCATAAGACATAATTCAGCATTATCATAGCTTTATCTCGAAACTTATATAATAATAATAATAATGATATATTTATTTTACCTTTCTCACAACAAATAGTTCTCAATCAAACGTAGAGTAACTTCATCGATTATAGAGGTCTCTAGTTGTCTCATTCATGTAGTACGTTATAAACTTTTGTAATATTGTTTACAAATTATAAGAAATAGAATGTTGTTGTAGGTTATGTTTTAATATTTTAATTTTAGATTTTCGATTGAGGGAACTTTAACTTATAATAACGCATTGGCTTTGTTTGTTTGTTGTTAAGCACAAAACTACACAATGAGCTAACTGTGCTGTGCCCACCAGACGTATCGAAACTCAATTTTTAGCAATTTGTATAGTTAGATTTTGAGGAATTATACTAATGACGAATATACTCTGAATTTACTCTGATTAATAAATTAAAATGCGAAATATAATGTTTGATAGTAAGGTTTACTGTAACCAGTTTTCACATTGAGTGTTTGTATACTAGCATTTCTTTCGAAGAAACAATACATTCAATTGCAGATTTCATTTTTAACGACAATTAAAATGAGTTATATACCTCAAAATCTGTATATTTTGAAATTAATTAATTTTTCATCTAAGGGATCAAGTCAGTTCAGCATATAAATTGCCGCTTATTTAGGTTTAGAAGAAATCTATGATTCTACACATTTCTGAAGGACCGGTTACATCTACTATTCTATACATTTCTGAAGGACTGTTTACATAAATTTTACATTTTGAATTTTAATGAATAGGAAAGTAAGAGCATTTGACTATTCGCTCTTCCTTTACATGGTTGTTATGACAAGCTCCACTCTCCAAATGTTAATACAATATTGAGACTAAAGAGGGCGCATTGGTAAGTTGTATAGATGTATAAATAGTGACGCTGTAGTGTGCGTGTGTCCGAATAGAAACCATACATATATTAAGAATAAGAGATTTTCAGAGTATTAAGTTCATTCAATGCTTAGTATTTTATTATGTTTGCGAGAAGAACTCACCCTTGGTTTTCCAAAGCAAGCTCAATCCAAGTTTTATTAAAGTAGGGTCGTTAATCTTTCTTCGATATTTGCCAAATTAACGTTTTTTGTTTAAATCAGTAGATTAAGTCAGTTAATTACAACAGATTTAGTTCAAATCACATCAAGCAACAGATTAAATCAGTTACTCGAACCTATTTAGCATAAAAGAAAGCAAAGTTTGGAAACCGTTTAGAGAATTCAACAGTAATACTATGCTAACTATTTAAGTGCAAGGTTTTTCAGCACTGTAAGTGTGAATGACGAAACTATGAAAAGCATACTGTTATCCCCAATATCAATGACGTTTTTGCCTATGCTGTTTGCTACTGTACCTGTTCCACAAATAGGAAAATCAAAAGAAACCTGTAAGGCATGCTGGTGTGAAAAGCTACCAAACAGCTTGGACTGTCAGCGGTTTGATCAACTAGACGCCTTTCCCAGCCTTTCACCTGAGACGGCAGGACTAATAAAAGAAATGTAAGATGAACTTTATACTTTCCTTGATTGGCACCTTTATAGTCCTGGGAATTCATTCTTTCGTAGTTTGAAATTAATAAATGAAGAATTTACTAATTCTAATATTAATACTTTCCTTGATTGGGCTATTGACTTTTATAATCCTGAGAATTCATTCTTTCGTAGTCTGAAATTAATAAATGAAGAATTTACTAATTCTAATAATAATACTTTCCTTGATTGGGTTATTGACTTTTATAGTCCTGGAAATTCATTCTTTCGTAGTCTGAAATTAATAAATGAAGAATTTACTAATTCTAATAATAATACTTTCCTTGATTGGGTTATTGACTTTTATAGCCCTGGGAATTCATTCTTTCATAGTCTGACATTAGTAAATGCAGAATTTACTAATTCTTCTTACAAACACCACCGTTAGGACCTAAAGCATGAATCGCTACATCACCTTTTCAAATTTTTACCTTCAAAAAACAGTAATAAAGATGTTTTAAAGTGAATTTTTTTCCAGTCTTTCAAACTAATGTTAATGGGTAGGGTGTAAAAAACAACACAGACTTTAAAGTTTTAGTTTCTTTGTTGTATTTCTCTACAATTTGTATTATCCCTGTTTATCTCTATTTTCTTATAAGGCATCTTCAGATATTTTTGTTCTACCGAAGTACATAATGCGTCTACTTTATCAATTTGCTCATCATCAGAGAATGGTGGTTGTTATTCTGCTGTAACACAAAACTCTCTGATATGAAATAGACATTCTATGTTGTTCTTTTTCATCATCAGAGTCCTTATGGAATTAACAGCTTAGTGATAAAAACTTAATTTGTTACACAGGAAGGAAACACAGCAAACTTTTAGCTTAAATTACCATTAGTAAATATAACACAAGTAAAGAAAAAACTTTTCAAAGAAAGGAAATTAAATGTAGGGATGGCTAATATCAATCCTTCATAAACAATGCAAACAAGATAGTATGGATGGCATTTACATCACCCCTATATAAATAACACAAACACACAGTGTAATAGAATGTTAAGAGCAAAAATTAGGATAAATTAAACTCAGTTGTGAATGAATAATTATATATATATTGCTATATGTTAATTCTTCCTAGTGTGTATGAAAACATTTATAAAAAATAACAACTTTCTTTGTAATATGAATGTACAAATGAACATATAGGTTTTGGTAAAAAAAAGTTGAATATATATATATATGTGTGTGTATACCTTATACCTTAATTATTTTTATCAAGATGCATTTGTATAGGCAGCATATTAAAAAAGTAAAAATTCCACAGTTAGTGAAAATCCTTCATATTTGTATTTTTGGTAGTGCAAAAAAAATATCTAAGATAAAGAAATAAATAATGCATTAGAAAATATGTGTCGGATACTTTCTTTTCAGTAGCCTGGTGACTTAATGGTAAGTCTGGGGGCTTATAACGCTAAAAATCGGGTTGCGATTAACACAGAGAGCAGAGCAGAGAAAGAGAAAAAAAAATCTTTTCAGTATATTACAAACGAATAGTCATTTCGATACAAACTTTTTTCTTTCCTAGTTCAGTGTTGTTTTTGTTGCTGGTTGTTGGGTGCAAAGCTACACAAACAACTGTTTTTTTTTAACGGGGAAATTGAGCCCCTGATTTTAGCATTATAATACTAAAGTTTACCGCTGAGACACTGAGGGACATTGTTAGTCAAGAAAATTATGTATTTGAAATGTGATCTTGAATGTTTATGTCCCCAAGTGGCACAGCAGTAAGTCTTTGGACTTATAACGCTAGAACCGGGTTTCAATACTCGTGGTGAACACAGCACACATAGCTCAAGGTATAGATTTTTTGCTTAGCAAACAAAAAAAAAAAAAAAATTGATACTTGCGTCGACTACAGAAGTAAAGTAATACGTATTCTAAGGATTACATAACCTTTTCTTTTTCCTTTTTACTATTATTCAAAAATATTTCTAGCCTTGGGGCATATAAAGTTGTAGTTTCTCAGTGAATTAGTGGTAAGCTTACGGATTTTGTTTGTTTTGAATTTCGTGCAAAGCTACACGAAGGCTATCTGCGCTAGCCGTCCCTAATTTAGCAGTGTAAGACTAGAGGGAAAGCAGCTAGTCATCACCACCCACCGCCAATTCTTGGGCTACTCTTTTACCAACGAATAGTGGGATTGGCCGTCATATTATAACGCCCCCACGGTTAAAAGGGCGAGCATGTTTGGTGTGACGGGGATTCGAACCCGCGACCCTCAGATTCCGAGTCGAGCGCCCTAACCACCTGGCCATGCCGGCCCCTTACGGATTTACGATGCTAAAATCTGGATTCGATTCGTCGTGGTGGACGGAGCGCAGATAGCACATTGTGTAGGTCTGCTAAAAAAATAGAATAAATAAAATAAAAATCGAGAATACGTCAAAAACAACATTAAACTAACTGAAAAGATAGGAGCACATTATCAAGGGTCTAGGTTTTAGAAGATTCTCGAAAAAAAAGAATAACTAAAAACAGTTACTGGGTCACTTTAACATAGTTTTACTTTATATCCAGTTCTGGCGTTCTTTAACTGCAACACTTTCCGAGAACAGGTTTTTTGTAAAGTGAAGTATGAGGGTGTAGAAGGCTCAAGAAGGCCCAAGAAAGCTTACGTGGCGCTCTAGGCTGGTAAAGTGCGGTATTTCCATGAACACTTCTATTTTGTGCCAGAGGAACACCGTTTAGCAAACACCCTACATTCCGTATCTTTGTGGCCAAACGCTATTGATAGAGGAGTTTTTTACATTAAAGTGTAGTTTTTTGAGGTTAACAAATCGAGCCCTTTAGCTGAATCAATTTTGTGGACTTTAACGGTGACAACCCTCTGTAACTCACCAATGTATTCGAATTCAGTGTCTCTGACTCGCAGACTGGGTATTAAGCTAAATATCGTGTAATTTATCGTTTATATTCTTCTGCGTTTTGATATTTATATAACACAACACAACCTTCAGCGTTTCAATGTATGTATAACACAATAAAATCCACTAAAGTTTATTTTATTATTATAAAAACACTAAAGTTTATTTGTACTTACGTGAACAAGTATATCACAGTTTGTAATGTTTCTTTATAAGTGTATTTATGGGAACGAGTCTGTAATTCTAAACAGTGTTAGCAGTCTATATTCTTGTACTCCTGTATTTGTATAAATGCTATGCAAGAGAACCCGAGTGTCATATTTAGCACTCTTACAAAAACAAACAAACAAGCAAAAAATTACAAGATGATTGTCACCCACATGTGACACAAGTATACTGGTAAGCCACGATGAAATATCGTTAATCTATTTTTAAACACAAAAAGGAGAAGAACGTTTTAGGTGTAGGTAGCAAGTAACATTAATCTTGTTTCAACTACTCATTCATCATATTCCACTCTACCTAGAATGAAGGTTGAATTTATACGTACGTTTCTCCAATAAATCACATTTCTGTGTATACATCTATAGAAGCATGCTTTAATGTCCTATTTTAATATGAAATACATCTAGGTTCAAGTGAAGAAGAGACAATACAAAAAAAAAAGACGCGAACTTGATTTTATGCAAAGATGGGTAATAAAAGAAACTACTGATGATGCTATTAAAACTATTAGAATAAAAAAACTAGTGATGATGTTATTAAAACTATTAGAGTAAAAAACTAGTGATGATGTTATTAAAACTATTAGAGTAAAATAAACTACTGATGATGCTATTAAAACTATTAGAATAAAAAACTAGTGATGATGTTATTAAAACTATTAGAGTAAAAGAAACTACTGATGATGCTATTAAAACTATTAGAAAAAATGAAACTACTGATGATGTTATCAAAACTATTAGAGCAAAAAACTAGTGATGATGTTATTAAAACTATTAGAATAAAAGAAAGTAGTGATGATATTATTAAAACTATTAAAATAAAAGAAACTAGTGATGATGTTATTAAAACTATTAGTGAAAATATTATTAAACAAATGACGAATTTATCACACCAATGATTATTAAACAACTGAAGGTATTATCATACTAATGAAGGAATCATCAGACCAATGATGAGATTATTAAACAACTGAAGGTATTATCATACTAATGAAGGAATCATCAGACCAATGATGAGATTATTAAACAACTGAAGGTATTATCATACTAATGAAGGAATCATCAGACCAATGATAAAATTATATCATTAATGATAAGTTTATTTGTTTGTTTGTGATTAAGCACAAAGCTACACAATGGGCTATCTGTGCTATGCCCACCACGGGTATCGAAACCCAGATTCTAGCGTTGTGAGTCCGCAGACATTCCGCTGTGCCACTGGGGGGCGTCGATCAAAGAGCGTTTGATATTCATATCTGTTATGGTTGGTCGTTTTAATAACCTGGATTACAAAAAAATAAAAATAACCTTAATCTTTGGGAACAAAATTTAAATTGTTTTGTATGTGAACCTGAAATAATTCAAAAACTGCCACTTAAACATAAAATGTTTATGACAAATAAATATTGCTTTGGGATTTGGATTTAATAAGAAGTGCGATATCTTATAAAAAATAGCTACAAATAATTTTCGCTTCATGTTGGAAAAACAAAAGTCAACTTAGCTTATAAATAAAGTTAGTAAAACGTTCCAAGCTGGAAGAAAGTTACATAATAGAATAATAATGGCTGGAGACGGCTTGAATGGGTAATGAAGAAA